CTTCTGCTTGGATTCGTCAAGAAGAAAATTATCAATGTGGTGGATGTTATTCTGAATTTGTCTTCCATGATAACATATATAGTTATATTGTTCTAATTAGGAGATGTATTATCATTATGAGACCGTTTGGAAAGCCATTTGTCATTCCACTGCAATTTTGAGACGGTAAAAAGACGCATTTTCTAATGTGAGACGACACTTGGGTTGCCATATGCGAACAATGCTAAAATGCCGATGGTAATTCATTTGGAATCATCCCAAAGGGAACAGGAATGAAAAAGTATTGTGGAAATCAATCCATTAGTTGATGAGACATTTCATCCAAAGTCATAATTGTCAACCTAATTGTGGTGCAATAGGAAAAGTCATGAAGTTATATGACCCACTCTTTGGGCTCCACGTACATCTGTTGAAATCTGTATGACATTTCATCAGAATTCATCTGTTAGTTGTTGAGATATTTCAATCTGAAAAACGGCAGATTGCCCGACCAATAGATATTTATTTTCCAAGAGCTTTGGTATCAATACTCTTAACCTCGTTGATTTGAGTCAGGCAACTCTGTCTCCTACAAATGGTGTTTGTATTCCACTCATTTGGTTTCCCAATTACATTCCAATTAGAAACGTAATCAGTGCCTGGATTATGTTCTCTTACAACGTGTCCCATCCCTCTCTAATGGCGAGTCTCCAATTAACGCGAGTATGATATCGCAAATCTATGCAAAATCACACAAAATAATTAAATTAGTACATAATAAAAAAGCCTGTTTCCATGTGTAGTATATTACATAAGGAAACACCTTTCACTTGCATAAAGCATTCTGTCTAACTGGGTTATTCCATACAAAATGTGATTACAAAACTGACAGAAATAGTAAAAAACTGGCAAGCCCAAAGGTTGCAGTTCTTCTTGCCATTTGTTTTACCGGCCTCATGACTCATGGTATGTTGCCAGACTCCATGTTGACTGTTACTTTGGTCCCTGTCATTAAGGACAAAGCGGGCAAGGTAGGGAGCTTGGATAACTATAGACCAATTGCTCTAGCCAGTGTGTTATCCAAAGTCCTGGAAAGAATTTTGTTAGATTACATTACATTACATTACATTACATTACATTGCATTTAGCTGACGCTTTTATCCAAAGCGACTTACAATAAGTACATTCGACCAGGAAGACACAACCTTGAAGAAAACAGAATCATATAAGTACATCAGGTTTCATAGAGCCAAACATTTCAAGTGCTACTCAACTGGCTTTAGGTAAGCCAGTCCTTTATTAGTATAAAAGTGCTTCGTTAATAGTTCTAACGCTCGAAGTGGAGTCGAAAGAGATGAGTTTTCAGTTTGCGCCGGAAGATGTGCAAGCTATCTGCCGTCCTGATGTCAATGGGGAGCTCATTCCACCATCTTGGAGCCAGGACAGCAAACCCACGTGTTTTCGCCGATGGGAACTTGGGTCCCCCTCGCAGCGAGGGCGCAATGAGTCGTTTGGCTGATGCAGAGCGTAGTGCACGCGCTGGGGTGTACGGTTTAACCATGTCCTGGATGTAGGAAGGGCCAGATCCATTCGCAGCATGGTAAGCAAGTACCAGTGTCTTGAAGTGGATTCTAGCAGTTACCGGAAGCCAGTGAAGGGAGCGGAGGAGCGGAGTGGTGTGGGAGAATTTAGGAAGGTTGAAGACCAGACGAGCCGCTGCATTCTGGATGAGCTGCAGAGGTCGGATGGCACATGCAGGTAGACCAGCCAGGAGGGAGTTGCAGTAGTCTAGGCGTGAGATGACGAGAGCCTGGACCAGAACCTGAGTCGCTTTCTGAGTCAGCTGGGGACGTATCTTCCTGATGTTGTAAAGCGTGTATCTGCAGCAACGGGTTGTAGCAGCGATGTTTGCAGTGAAGGACAGGTTGTTATCTAGGGTCACACCCAGATTCCTTGCAGTCTGAGTCGGGGAAACAACTGAGGTGCCGATGTTGATTGTTAGGTCAAGAGTGGGACAATCTTTTCCCGGGAGGAAGAGCAGCTCAGTCTTGTCAAGGTTGAGCTTGAGGTGGTGAGCAGACATCCACTGAGAGATGTCAGCTAGACAAGCAGAGATGCGTGCGACGACCTGGGTCTCTGAGCGGGGAAAGGACAGAATTAATTGGGTGTCATCAGCGTAGCAGTGGTAAGAAAAACCATGCGGGCTAATGACTGATCCGAGCGAGTTTGTGTACAGGGAGAAGAGGAGGGGACCAAGAACAGAGCCCTGAGGGACCCCCGTAGTTAATTGACAAGGGTCGGACTCAGACCCTCTCCAAGTCACCCTGTAGGTACGGTCTTTCAGGTATGAGGTGAGGAGGGAAAGTGCAGAGCCTGAAACTCCAAGTTTTTGGAGAGTGCGAAGGAGGATCTGATGATTCACCGTGTCGAATGCAGCAGACAGGTCCAACAGGATGATGACAGAGGAGAGGGATGCAGTTTTGGCAGTGTGCAGTTCCTCCGTGACAGCAATGAGAGCAGTTTCTGTGGAGTGACCTGCCTTGAAACCAGACTGGTGCGGATCCAGAAGGTTGTTCTCATGGAGATAACAGGAGAGTTGTTTAAAGACGGCGCGTTCAAGTGATTTAGACAGGAACGGGAGGAGAGAGACAGGCCTGTAGTTTATAACATCAGACGGGTTGAGAGTGGGTTTCTTTAGGAGAGGGTTTACTCTTGCCTCCTTGAGACTGTTTGGAAAGTGACCAGAAGTTAGAGAAGTGTTGATGAAATGGGTGAGAAACGGTAGAATATCAGGAGCGATAGTCTGAAGGAGATTTGAAGGGATAGGGTCCAGAGGACAGGTGGTAGGGCGGGCAGAGGTAATGAGGGTAAGAACCTCATAGATAGGCTATGTTCCTATTTATGTACCTCAGATAACCAGTTTGGCTTCAAGGCTAAGCATGGTACTGAGCTATGCATCTATGCTTTGAAATAAATGGTAGAAACATATAGAAGACAGAATTCCACTGTTCTGATTGGTTTCATTGATGCCTCTAAGGCTTTTGACCGAGTTAACCACCATAAACTGTTTTTAAAATCGAGACAAAGGGGTGTGCCTAACAGTATAATTAGGATCCTGACTTATTGGTATGCCAACCAGAGCATGCGGATAAAATGAGAAGCCCCTCACTGCAGTGCGCAGTACCTCAAGATGGGCGGGAGCTCAACATGGGCGGAGCCTCAACGCCCCTCCTTCTCAACCTATGAGGCACGTGACGGGACGGCCCCTCCTTCTCAACCTTTGAGGCACGTGACGGGACGGCCCCTCCTTCTCAACCTTTGAGGCACGTGACGGGACGGCCCCTCCTTCTCAACCTTTGAGGTACGTGACTGACGGCCCCTCCTTCTCAACCTTTGAGGCACGTGACGGGACGGCCCCTCCTTCTCAACCTTTGAGGCACGTGACTGACGGCCCCTCCTTCTCAACCTTTGAGGCACGTGACGGGACGGCCCCTCCTTCTCCACCTTTGAGGCATGTGACTGACGGCCCCTCCTTCTCAACCTTTGAGGCAGGTGACGGGACGGCCCCTCCTTCTCAACCTTTGAGGCACGTGACGGGACGGCCCCTCCTTCTCAACCTTTGAGGTACGTGACCTACGGCCCCTCCTTCTCAACCTTTGAGGCACGTGACTGACGGCCCCTCCTTCTCAACCTTTGAGGCACGTGACTGACGGCCCCTCCTTCTCAACCTTTGAGTCACGTGACTGATGGCCCCTCCTTCTCAACCTTTGAGGCACGTGACGGGACAGCCCCTCCTTCTCAACCTTTGAGGCACGTGACTGACGGCCCCTCCTTCTCAACCTTTGAGGCACGTGACGGGACGGCCCCTCCTTCTCAACCTTTGAGGCACGTGACTGACGGTCCCTCCTTCTCAACCTTTGAGGCACGTGACTGATGGCCCCTCCTTCTCAACCTTTGAGGCACGTGACTGACGGCCCCTCCTTCTCAACCTTTGAGGCACGTGACGGGACAGCCCCTCCTTCTCAACCTTTGAGGCACGTGACTGACGGCCCCTCCTTCTCAACCTTTGAGGCACGTGACTGACGGCCCCTCCTTCTCAACCTTTGAGGCACGTGACTGACGGCCCCTCCTTCTCAACCTTTGAGGCACGTGACTGACGGCCCCTCCTTCTCAACCTTTGAGGCACGTGACAGGACGGCCCCTCCTTCTCAACCTTTGAGGCACGTGACGGGACGGCCCCTCCTTCTCAACCTTTGAGGCACGTGACTGACGGCCCCTCCTTCTCAACCTTTGAGGCACGTCACGAGCTTCACAGATGACGCGTTGCATCCTGTTTCCGGGGTAGCAGTTCTGTTCTGTTAATCATAGCGTCAGAGTAAAATGGAGGTAAGTAATCCCTGAATAAATTAACTATTTGTTTTTGCTGTGGTTTAAAATGTGTTGATTTTAAGTCTCACTTATTTGCTGTCAAATGTGCGCTGTCGCTACTAGGACGTGCATGTCCTAGTGATGCAGAAACTAACTACATTTAATAACTATTAATTATAACTACAAACTACATTTGTGTTGCTTCAACATAGTAGGATTGCTGTATAAGCAAAGTCCTGAAAACTTTAGGAACGTTTTAATATTATTTTTGCACTACTTGAGAAATACTAATAACTATACTAACCTATATTTCAATTTGATGTTTACAAAATAAATGTATATGCAGCTTATTTTATTCCTGCCTATTGCCTAACTATTTTGTTTGTGTTTATTTTCTTTGACCAGAAACACATCACACACTGATGAAAGGGATGTTCTCAGAAGGATAGAGCTTGTGCCAGAGCTGGCGGGGTGCATAAACAGTCAATGTGCTCAGGAATGAGGAAAAACAATTACTTTTTGAACATGACAACACACTTAACACACATATTTCTGCAAATAAATATACTACACCACTACAATGTGACAACAAACAACAAAGCTAAAGAGCAATACAGATCATCTGAAAAGTATCATCCCAGCAGATATGGAAATACAGCTTGATGTCAATGGGAGGATATCATTAGGTGAAGCATTTCTTAGAATCATTATGTTCTTTTACGTGGTTATCTGGAGAACTAATATTATTTCATTTCAGCAGCTCTTCACAAGTTGGGATGGCCACTGCATTTTCAGAACACCACAGAGATGGTCAGGAGCAACAGGAGTGTAAGTTATCTGCTTGATATTGACAACTTGTATTCATACAAGTCATACTGTATAAAGACATACATTTTGTGTTGATTTGTTATCAAGTGAATGATGCCAAGGACCAGGGAGACTTTACTAGTATCAACACAGTTATGGCAAGCAAAGGTTGCTGGGGACAGGAGCTTCAGGAGGTTCAAAACAAACAAGTAAAGTGAACTAGTCAGCAGTTCAAAAATATTGTATGTATGCTAAATATTACTTAAAATGCCGGTTTTCTTTTTTCTTCCTTTAGCTGGCACAGGTTCTGGACAAGACCCAAAGTCCAAACACACATCTAGCCTTTGTGAGCAAGATGGCTCTCACGCGGTCAGATTTTTGTTTCTTGTACTATTTCTAACTGATTTTGTATTAGTTGTTGGCATGGTTCATGTACTCTGTATTTGACTGACTGTGTGTTTGTATTCTGCCAGATCCTGAACAGCTGTCTTACAGTTATTGAGAAGGTATTGAAGCTGTTCTAAAATATGTAAATATATGTATAAAACATACTATATTATATCAAACAATTATAAGATATTACATTATGAAACTACATCTGTTACAGAGAGTAGATGGCGTGTTTGCTGCCAACAGCCATGTTATAGCTGCCTGGTTTCCACCATCTTCGCTGAATCCGATGCAACACCTGCCGGTATTTTGATCATGATTATCCATGTTGCTGCTCCATGTTCTTGTACCAACTCATTACTGTAGTCACATCAACACAACTGGTTTTTTGCTTTTCCAGGAAAATGCAGCAAATCTCCAACGGCTTCTCCTTCCAGTGTGGGAACCTGGACACTCTGTGTATGTACATGTAGTTCTGTCTTTGCTATTGTTTGTTTACTGTACAATGAAGTTTGCCATGCCGAAAATAGTGTTTCTATCTTTCAATTCAACGCTTAATTTAGTTGTATAATACAGATCCTACAACTTTATAATATAACGTTTGTATGTCAAAGTATACCTGTTGATATTGGAACATGTGATATTAACAGATACTGAGGCCACAAGCTAGGGAGATTTTCTTTCTAGATCCCCTCCGTGGCGCTGGCTGGAGAGATGATAGTCGCACCAAACCATTCAGGTTTTTTGGCGCACAGTTCCATCACATCCGGACAGTGGTAGTTCTGTTTTAGACCACTTGTCTATCTTTTTTGAATCTATGGCGGTTTTATTTGAACTAACATGGGATGCATTGTATTAAATAAAAGGCATTGAACAGAACCATAGATGCCACTTGACAGCAGGGCTGTTCTGTTTTACCCCTTAATGACTTTTTTTTTGGAAGTTCAAGTTTGTTCCTGTTCCAACAGTGTTAAAAGATTTTCTGCCTGATTTTCGAGTACTTATAAAGTTGAATTACATTGTACTTATTTTTAACTTTCACATGCATTGTGTTCACAGAAACCTTGCTCAGATCTTGTGCCCTGGGCCTTGGGCAAGTCTTGGTGTGGATGATGTCCAGGTTAGATTTGTTAAAATTATTCTACTGAAGAGTATGATGTAATTGTCATTTTTGACACTTTTCACACTACAGGGCCTACCAGGACAAGGGTTCTCGAACAACTGTGGGGTGTTTGTTTTGATGGTAAGATACTGGATATTAGTGCTGTAGCGACGCGTCGACTTCAAAATATCGTCGACGACATATTTCCGCGTCGACGCGTCGCTACACACACGTGGGTCACCCAAAGCAACAAGCAGTTCGCAATCGCACTTCAAACACAATAGAGACTGAAACGGCTACCACCTCCTCCTCACAGGATTGCGCACGAAGCCCCCAAACGAAAACATCTCGCCCTAGGTCTTCAAAAGCATGGGAATATTTTAAAGTTAGTCCAAAACGCAAAGATATTTATATATTTATATCTCACTGAGACTGCTGCATAGCCTAGCAGAAGCAGCAGCTAGCTGTGGTGGCTACCATTAGCAGCTAGCATTTGCTCTCCGATTTTTACATAAAATGGAATTATGGATTATAAATTCAATCATTTTTTTATACATAGACGTTAAAAACCTATGGATTAACCGATTCAGCCGCGTTTTTTCTCATTTTATTGCCATTGAACACGTCTTTTGATCAGATTACGGTGGTGAGACGATCTCCCGAGAAGTTCTGTGAAGGTACGTGTTGTGATGACTGTATTTGCTTCGCCTGTCGCGAGTCCGGATCACTCAGTGATGATACTATATACCTACATAATCTGTGGAGTCTCAGCTTTAATCGGATATATTGTATGTGCAGCTACGATAAGTAATAAGGGTACTTTTATCTTGAGTTCTGTGCCGATGTCCGTTAGCATTTTTCGCTCAGGGGTCATTTAGATGCTTCTTATGAGACTTGTGTTTTGTTTTGGTAAACATGGTTTGTATCGTCAGTTAGCTGAGATTATTTCCGTTAATTTGGTATAACACATTAATAGGTTCTTAAATATTAAGATCCCCTGAGACACAGTATCGTGAACAAATTTTTTTTTTACATTACGTTTTTTTTACATTACGTTTTTTATGAATTGAACAACAGAAAAATAATCGTTAGATTAGTCGACTAATCGATCAAATAATCGCCCGATTAATTGTTTTCAAAATAATCGTTTCCCCCCAGCACTACTGGATATACAGTAAACATATAGTAGTCCTATTTTTCTGTTTATAATAATGTATACTGCTTTCAGCATGCTATGCACTCCATTATTGCTCATAGTTTGAGACATGCTGTGATTTATTTATATCCAAAACAACATTCACGGAGGAATATTATTTGTCAATGAACACCATAGCATCACAACAACCTAACATAATATACTATTTCTTTATTTACAGTACGCATTTTACATTGTGGCAAGAGCCCAATTTGATTTCAATGAGGTATGTAGAAATAAGGGTTTCATATTTCAGTTTTTCATTGATATCACTTGTGGATACAAGACTTTTCAGGACATGTGTTGTTGACCCATCTGGTTGTGTGCTTTTTATATTCCAAGACAAACATGCAGCAAATTAGGCACTGGTGGTGCCTAGTTCTCCTCAAACACTTTCCCATGCCGTATGTTTCTTTAATTTTACAATTTACATTTGCATTCTTGAGACTATTTGTTACACTGTAACCTGACCAGCGACGTGCAGTCAGGGGAGGCAGGGGAGGCAGAGCCTCACCTGTCATACTCATAGACTGGTCATACTACAATGTAACGGAAAAACAACTAAAGAAAAACTAAATAGTAATAATAATAAAATGTCTCCACTGATCTGTGTTGTAAATGTGATTTCTGTTTGATTCCAATCGCTTCTTATAGTCAAAATCAGCAAATTTGCCGAGCTCCGCTACAACTCCTACATGGGAGCGATGAGGAGTGAGGCAGGGACGAGCTCTGCCTCTCGTAAGCCCACAGTAACTTGCTGGAGCGCGGGCACTAATTTAGCGCGGGCACTTATTTTGTGAGCGCGCTCAAGCCAGTTGCTGTGTGGTGAGGTGAGGCACAGGAGCTCTGCCTCACCTCAGAATGCGTCACCTCACAGAAACTGGCTGGAAAGCGGGCACTAAGTGCATGCCTGCACCATCTCACTGTATGTCACCAATGTAATGTTTGTAGATCCCTTTATTACATTTATCCTCACCATCCATAGTCTCTAAATAACTTATTTCACGTATATGATATTTAGGCTCGCCGTACAACGGCAATGAAAAAAGCACCAGGGGAGGCAGCCATAACCTCTGCCGCACTGAAGGGGGCGCAAGTGAGCCCACAGGTCCTTGTTGCTACTGTTATTCTACGCAGAGACGGTATAGACGCGAACAACAAGCTAGACTTTTGAAACTAGAGGAAGATAAGGAGGATTTTTACAAAAAAGTAATAGAGATTGTTGTCCAGAAGGAGAGCATGGACTTCATCTTCAAGTCAAGGTAAGACCACCATTGGTAATGAAAATGGGATCTTACTAAGAAAGAACAATCCAATATTTAGATTTTGGGTATCCTTTTGTTGAACGGTCTGTTTAAAATGAATCGAAACATCAGACCAAAAAAGCTTTTGAAAATAACAGAATATTTCGATTAAGGTCAGAATATAATATTTGTAAATCTGACTCTGAAAGAGTCAGTGCCTCACCAGCCATGAACCTCACTGCACGTCACTGAACCTGACTATATCATTTTTAATGAATATTTGTAATGTTTGTCTTTCATTCACCAAGGTCTGAACAAGAGAGGTCGCAAGACTGCAAGAGGCGACGGGAGGAAAAGGCAATGCAGGTAGAAGTTGTTGAATCACAAATGATAAAGTCTTGGACCAGTGTGAGTGTTAAACATTTAACCTCTCTTTGTCAAATATATTTCAGGATGAAGAGGTTGTGAGGTTCCACAAAAGAAGCAGGCCATCATTTGAGATGGGGTCATGAGTGACCGCTGCTGGGGGGGAGCTGTTATAATCAGCTGTATTAGGTTCACTAATGCCTCAAGATGTATTAGTTGTCACGATCTGTCTGTGTATTATTTTGTCCTGTCTTGTCTGTTGCTTTCTGTGTTCAATAAAATTGAAAGTCCTGAATTCAAAGTGTTTCTTAAGTAAAAGAGTATAAGTATTATCAGCTAAATGCAGTGGCGGCGCCAGAGATTTTCTCTAGGGGGTGCTGTGGGGTAGCTTGACGTTTCATAGAGGGTGCTCAAACATTAAGGGTTTCCCATTAATGCACCAGCGCTACAGTTGAATTTTCTACTGCAACACTCCCCACACGCGCACACACAGTGTAGCCGCGACTGTTACAATGAAGGCTCGATAATCAGCCTAGGTGTAAGCAGGGGTAAAGTGCTATTTTTACAAGTGGGGAGTGGACCTCACCTCCTCTAGGAGGGTCCTCACCTCCTCTAGTGGGGTCCGGGGGAGCTTGCTCCCCCGGGAAGGTTTTTTTAAATATTGAAGTTACAAGCATCAATCTGGTGCACTTTGAGAGCAACATTAAGAGATCTATGGATACATCTCTCAACACCCATATGAAACAGAACTGTAAACAGATTTTCTATTTCTTTATAGATATTTTACAAATCACTCCCCTTTTAAAACAAACCGTTTGAGACCCACTGAGATAACTAGACTAAAGTTAACTATCTAAACACTGAGAGTCCTTTACTTCACCTGAGCTGAGGTTATCTGAGACTCTCAGTCTGACAGGAGAGAGTTCTCCCTCCACCTTGTTGTTGAAAAAGCTCCTTATATCCGTTAGCTTGGCTAGCTAGCACCAGATGCTAACCACAACGATCTCCGGTAGATACCCACCGGTGCGCGAGCTCTCTCTCTCGCTCGCGCACGCACACAAAATGGCTCGTGCCACACACAC